ATTTGGCCATACTTCATATTAGTAGTCTGTATTTCCAATGATCGTACCCATTCCATTGTGATCGCTATTTTCTTATCCTTACTGTAAAAGAGACAGAGCACAATAGCGTATCCCACTATTCCATCGTTCACCCTGGTTCCTTCCAAAACACTGATCCTGTCTTTACAGTTACCTTTCCGAGATGTACCTGTTCGTTCGCACGAATCTACTGCTCATCACACTATCTTCTCATCAAGGTAAGAAGTACAAGAAACTCTTTTTCGTAGTGTACACAATCCACATTTCCGGTGCCATTTGGTCTTCCAAGAAATATCTTCAAAACAGGCAAATTCTCCACTCTCAAATTCAGTATATCCTTGCTGTTGTACAGTGCTCACAGACGAGGCAGAACGTAACGCCTTGTTGCGTGTACGAGCGTGCAATCAATTCCGCCTTTTATGAAGCGTTCGATAATAGCTGTAGTTCTGGGATGTCTGTTCGCAATACAGATAACTTGCTTCGTTTAGGAATTCGTTGGCAGGTGGTGCAGTGGGTCGGCGTGGTTCTACAATCGATGGCACAATAGGCAGTTTCCTCCCAAATTTTCAACACCAAAGGTCAATTTCTTGAAAATTGAGAGTAGACAAAAAGTATGCTTATTTCTTCTGACACACTTGTTTCCAGGAAGTCAATCGCTGCCGGTACGCTTGGTAGACGGGGCTCTATCATGGAGGGGGCTGGAGAGATTCTGCCAACGCGACGAAGAAGTGTGGTCGTGACGCCGCATGTACAGCGAAGGTATAGCGCTTGTGGGAAGCACAGGGAGCTCAGAATGAAGGAAGATTTTCCAGACCATCATCCGTCGCACTTGGTACTGTTCCATCATTTCGACGTCTGAGTGTGCAGCCAAACGACGACGCAGTGCATCTCATCGTCAACCGTAGACGATCGTCGGCTCATCCAAAGCATTTTCTCATATGAACATTAAGCAGAATTAATTTTTGTGTGACTTGAACCGTATGTTTTGAAAACATGCTTCAGTGTTTCTTTACGCTCAATCATTGGAAGGTTGTGGAATCTCCAATTTAATACCTGTATGCTTTTGGGTATCACCGTAGCGAAGTACGGTTCCACTAGAACTACCGTGGATAGAGAATTGAAAAATGGAGCTTATATACCGAAGACGGTGCACTGTTGCCACTGTTTTCAAAACCGTAGCAATGTTTTTTTGAATATATACGTGTAAAAAACAATATTCACCTAAGATTTATCGCATTCAAAACTACAAACATTTTCTTGAATAACAAACGTCCAGGGACTCGAGGATGTACAAGTAGAGGGATGAGATAAAAGCTCGCCGGCGAGCGAACGCGAGCGTATGTTGGTGACGTCACCGATGAGGCAAGCGCGAGGAAGGATCAAACAATGGACAGCTCGCGTAGTAGAGTTGTTCGCGGCTCACTAATCTATCCAATTAGTCATGCAGAGAACGAAATCAAAATGATACCAAACCTTTGTGCTAGGGAATTGAATTTTTTCAAATGTTGAGAAAAATTAAGGCCTTTGTGTGCAAACCCTCAATACAGCACAGTTAAGTTGAAGTTAGTTCCAATATGGTGGTGGTTTCTTCGATTCCGATTTTTACTTACTACTTCTTACTACGCTGTAAAGTCAGAGATACGGTAAATTCTCGCAGTACGTAATGTGTGGAAGGATTGGCGGCAGCGCCGTTCCTTGCTCGTTCCCTTGTCGCCGTTGTGGCTCACAGGACGTCACCAGCACGCGAACGCGTTAGCGTCGCCGATCAGCTTTTCTATGGAGCCCATGAGCGCTTTACATTTTCCCCTCACTTACTACCCCTCTTCAGCTTGGTCCTAGCTTGCTGTTAGTCGAATACTAGCTTTTCTGAACGTGTAATTATCCAACACAAAAACCCATAAATAGTATAATATAACTACGATGAAAGTATAGAAACACATAGGTGGAGTAGAGATGAAGCCAGTAGCAGTTTATAACTTTGAAGGACTTCTTGAAGAACAAGTGTATGTTGAGAAGTGTCGGGCGCTGAACTCCGCGATTCTCCTTCTTCGGGTCATGAACCTTAAAAACGGACAAGGTGCTCGATATTTATTGGATCTATGATCAAGCGTGCGTCGGTCAATCCTCCAAAGGTGGGGAGAGAGGCGGAAGTTCGTATTTTTTCTTTCGCGGAGGGGATCCTAAGCGCCTAGAGCAGTAGTGAAAAGAGAGATTGCAAAAAGATCGCATATTCTAGAATTATCCTAGTGAATATGGCCGTGTGAGTTATTTCTCATGTACTGCATGGGTTTATCACTACTTTAGAAAGTACTGAGAATTTTTCAAGCTTTCATTCCTGTCATTGATCCTCTTTGAAGAAAGTTATATTTATAGTTTTCCAATTTCTGCTCAGGCGGAGTTCACGATGAAAAAGAAACTTATTAGAAGCAAAGGTAGAGTGGTGGTGGTGCAGGGATGAAGAAAAAACCATGAGAAACGGCCCAGAACCCGAGAAATGGGACCCTTCCTTGCCCGTTGATTTCCGCATTGATGCGACTCTCATCGGTGCTGCCCTCTTCAACGCTAACGCTCTCTGCTCAGCGACTAGAATCAATGGCGATAAGTGGGCGGGCAGCGGCGGCGGTAGGTATATCTCCCCTCCTTTGACTTTCGTTTGGAAAAGAAACTGTGGAATCCTCCTGACCCCCCGTCCGAACTCTCCGAACGGATATTGGACTCTACGCCGGGTTCTGCATCATCTGCACAGGCGGTGGAACAACAAGAAAGGCATAACACAGTCTTAGTGAGACTAGTGAATCCTTATAATGAGCTGTTTGTCAACCCTGGTGGCTCACGCAGAGCTCGTTTGCATAGGTGGTGAAAGGGTCAGGAACCATACTAAACATTCATGACAGGCGCAGTGCATGGCGCACACCATTGAACTGTGTGCTAGCAGTGTATGGTGATGACACGGCACACAGCATAGGTGGTGACACGACTGGCAAAGTGTAACGAGTGTTCCTCGCAGGAAACAATGATTCACATATTATCAGTCCATGGTGATGGCACGGCACACGCACGGCATCATATGCACAGGTGATGACACGGCAAGGAGAGGATTTCGAGGTTTCTGCCGGAAACATTGGAATGCGCTTTCAAGCTGCAGATCATCAAAGGAAGATCCCACAATTAGGTTGGAGCTCGAAGAAGGGGAAAAAAGTTGAAGAGATACATGGAAAGGCACGCGGCCCCTACCCTGCGGAACGATGCCTGGTTGATGTTAACAGAAGCGTGTTGGATACTGCTGTTGTTGCTTTAAAACTTACAAACTACGCTAACCCTGGGCTTGTGAGCTCCATACCCGATTTCGTAGAAAGATTATGATGGTGAGGGTGTATGCGCATCCAGAAGTTTCATTGTCAGAATGCCGTTTATAGTGTGCGATTGAACGATGCGTTACCGTGCCCGCACCAGAAAAAAAATATCTCCAGAGAATACTTGTTTTACACGGCGGGTTACAGAAGTAGGAGCGCAGGGATTGTCCCACAGTGGACACCTGAGGGGAGTGCCGTTTTGCAACGTATTTATTTCTGGCTTACACTGTCAGCACAACTGTGACGCCAGAACGCAGTAGTCGCAATCGGTTGCTGAGCGATGGAGACGGACAGCAGCTCGGAACAATCTTTGCTATAATAGCATGGGGACAGAATCACAAAAATCGCGTGGTTTCGTGAAAAACCACCTCAATGATCGTTAATCATGAGAAGTGGTGAGGGAAGCATCGATAGTTTTTATCGATCGTGAAAATTACTTCGTGTGGTTGCCTGTGTATGGGGATGGGGGCAGAAGACCCAGGAATCACTGAGCTCCATAACAGCCCTCTGAACACAGTACATCTGGTTTCCCTACTCATGAGTTAGCAGGAACAACCGTCCATTGGGATTTTCCTCTAGGGAGGGGGAAATCGTCACTGAATCAGTTTCTCGCTATGAAAGCCACTGCTTGTGTAGGATATGACGGTGCCCGCAGCAAAAAATATCTTAGCGATCCGCACCCGAGGTTGTTTGCGGCAAGCGAGTTTGGCGACGAGACATAACAAGAACTGCGGTAAGGTTGCATTTGATATGCAAGCTTCACAAACATATCAGCAGCCTGCAATCTCACTGTAGCACTACAGTTCTTTCGGAAGATTCCTCTTTTCTGATCCCTCCTTTCGGGTTATTGCAATTCATCCCTAAGTCCCTCCGCATTCCCTTTCCTTTCCTCCAGTCTACTTTTACTAATGCATCTCATTCCTTTTGAATGTAAAGAGCTGCTTTTGACCGCAGTTGCCGTGCGAAAGTTGTCACAACGAGGCTGGGTTTCGGGCAAAATGTCTCGCTTCAGACGGAAATCAAACCACCTCTTGCTTCCAGGAAGATCGTTGTCCCGATCGATGACGAATCTTGTGACTCCTTGTTCACTGAAAAACACTAAAGCGAACCCGGAGCCAAAAAAACGGGGCCATCCCTGCACTCCCTGCAAATGTCGCGCTCGACGTCGCCGTGCCGCTCGCGACAGAACTGCTTTAAAGGGGCGGCAAGTGGTGCATTCCGATTGGAGCAGTTTTCGTTTTTTCAGAACTTTCAATAAGATTTTCCTTTCGAAATCGTTTCTGCTGAACCGCTGCACTTTAATACCTTTTTGAAATGCAAAGATTGTGAGCAGTAGCTGCTCACAGCTTCTCACTGCTTTCGAGAGTTTGTTTTCAGCCCTATCAAGTAAGTGAAATTTCCTGAAACGTACATGTCTTTATCTTCACTTTCGTCAATATCACAACGTGGAAGATAATGGCGTTTTCGGACCATATGTCGGATGCCTCAAACTTCTTCAGTGTGAGTCTTTTTCATAATTTGTTTTCGTATTTAATGAGGTCGTTTTTATTATATTGTTTTTAGTTCCTCTGCTTGCAAGCGCTTCACGGACCAGTGGATTTGAAAATCCCTACTTGTTCCCAGAATGTCATGTTTCGTACTAGTGGGAAAAGGGTAGGTTTTCTTGTTGTACTCCCCCAGTAAATCCACAACGGCTTCATAGTTCAAAAAAATGAGTCTCGGCTTTTCGCATCGGGATCTAATATTTATTGTTTTATTAAGTCTTTCATCCACTGAGGTTCAGTATACTTGCAAACAAGTAATGGGAAATGTTGCAATTTCTAAGTATTTATGTGTTTTCAAAACGGGTTTTTTGGTAAGCGGAATAATTGTATTGGATTAAGGAGCACATGTTGAGGTGTCTTTTTTTACCACGGTTTTCTATTCTATGTTTGTGGTTTATTGGCCTTTCCATCGCCTGCTCGATATTTGTATAATAACCGAGTCATGATTTAGAATCGCGGATGCATGATAATTCACCTGTATACGGCTTCAGGCGAAAAAAGCATCATAGAAATACCTTTCGTTCATGTGGAAAGCATCCTGGTTTGTGATGTTTTTATCGTTATTTTTCCTCGTATCTCAATGTCCTTAATTTTTGGGTTTTTTGTTAATATTCATAGGTTTATTTGGTTCATTGCCGCTTTCGTCTTCCTCAATCTCGGAACGCAAGGTTTCAAATGATGTTGGCTGAAATTTTGCAAATGCATTGAACCTAGCGCAAAATGGCGTCCGCCACGTTTTGTTCTCACAATGAGTGGATACAATTGGCAGCTCAGCGTTCACTGCTAGCGTAAAATCATTGATCCTATTTCGGCGCTTTCTTCACCGATAGTACCACGGGCCTATTTCTGCGTATGCTTTACGCCTGTCGCTGTGCTAACTTCCACACATAGTCAATACCTCGTCGTTGAGTAGCCGTTTCTACGGATTTGACGTGGCGCGCCGCACTTGATGATTTTCGCGTGGATAAGCTAATTCCTACACACTACGCTGCGATTTAGAAAATCATGCTGGAAGTAGCTTATCCACGTGACTTCCATCAAGTGCGTCGGCCGCCACGTCCAATCTGCAGGCATCCTACTTGAGCGGAGAGAAGGGACTGCATGAGGTCCACATCTTGTAGACGGACGGAAAAATCTATTGTTTATATAAAAGTATAAACATTTGCCGTTGATCAATCCCTTTGTGGGATGCGGCATGCATTCTACATACTTCCATTTGTATATTCGTAGTGGCGCCTGAAGGCGATGTAACTTATACAATGACCTGCGGGGGCCAGCCGATGTTCAAGTCAGTGATTTTATCCTCCCAGACATGTCTGG